TCTGCCCATGCACCCATAATCCTCTGGGCCATCTGAATAGCAGCTCTTCCTGCAACCGGCCGATCATTCTCCTGCCCTCAGACTCCGGCTGCCACGTGTGGCATCTGGCTGCTATAGAAAGCTCACATCAAGGTATTGAAGCACCTCCACTTCCTCACTGAAATCTGTCAGGAGATGGACTGGATCTATTGCCGTCATTACGCCTGATGAAAATGGAGCCTCTTGGGAGCCACAGGTCATCCAGGATCAGAAAGTGCTTGCGTATGGGTGTCAGGGTCCAGCATTTAAGTGTCAAATGTGTCAAGAGCAGGAGGGGCCGACTGCTGGATGGTAGAAACTCAAAGCAGCACAGTCAGGGGAACTGGAAATTCAGTTTGTCCTTCTTGAGGTCATTTCCTGGGTTCTTTCTCTTTGTACTTAGGTTTTGGTTGACTTGGGTGGCCTTAGATCCCTGTCTTTCCAATCAGCAGGGACATAGATCTTACCTGTTGGTAAAATTCTGCTTTAAAATTTCTTTTATAGCTTCAAATCCTCCCCTAGTTTTGAGACAGGGTCTTGCTATGTAGTTTGGGCTGGCTTTAAACTTACTATGAGGCCCAGGTTGGTCTTGAACTTGCAGCAATCCTCCTGCTTCAGCCTCCTCATTGCTGGGATTACAGGTGTGTACCACCACATCCAGCTTCTACCCTGAAATCTTAAAGGCATTGATAATCACAGGCCTAACTACTCTTTGATGGAGGGATTTTTTTAAAAGGACTTGTTTGATGCAGGGTCTCACTACACAGTTCAGAGTCCTAGTGATTCTCCTGTTTCAGCCTCCCCTGTGCTGGGATTATAGGCACGGTATGCACCTGGGGTTTCAAGAGCCAGCACTGCATGTAGTACTTGGGCCTTGAACTCGGGTCCTTTCCCCTTGCCAGGCAGGCGCTTAGACTGCTGTACTATCTCCCAATCCCTAATGGAGGGCCTTCTATATTCTATAACTATCTTCTAGTGAGCACTCACTGTGTTCCCAGATATTAGACTAAATGCTTTCCATACTTGATTAAGTGGAATTTTACCAACAGGCAAAATCACACAGCTAGTAAGTGCCAGGGCCTAGACTCATTCAGGACCATCAGATGCCAAAACTCTTGCTTTCAGTTCCTGGAATCCCTGTGGGATTTGAAAAAGTATATTTGAAGATTTGGGGAAATTCACACTATGGCATAAGGGCGAAACACTATGAACATGGATTGAACATTAAGAAGTCATTCTTCTGCTTTCTTGATAACCTAAAGGATAGTTTCAGACACTTTCTAGGAAACTTACTTCCATTAATGAGAATAATGGCTTAAAAAAATGCATCCTACATGATGGTGGTATGTTGGAACTGGCACGTCTTGGCTGTCAAGGATGGATCCACACCTTTTCCAGCCTCCAAGTTCAGTAACATCATGTTGATATACATGGAATCAGTCACGGTGGGGAGGTGGTGGTATTTACAGCATGGATCTCCATCTTCACTGTTATAAATCATAGCTCTTCAGCCTCCAGAGAATTGATTGTTAAACATTTACCATGGTGGGCTGGGGGAGATAGCTCGATATTCCAAATGCTTGCCTGGCAAGCGCAAAAAATCTGAGTTCAATCCCAGTGCTGGGGAGGCTGAGACAGGAGGAGCACTAGGAGTCTGAACTATGTAGTGAGACCCTTATCAAGAAAAAACCAGTTACCATGGTAACACTGACTTTCAAATGTTCCACTAGAAAAAACCCAAACCCAACAAATACTCTGACTTCCTATGGGAATCTTCTTGTTAGCTTCTCCTTCCAGTTTGGTCAGGTGTGGTTCTGGTTCTGATTCTAGGGACAGACACCTTGTGATACATCACGGATTCATGTAGAACATTTGGTGGTCTTAGTGTGACCACTATATTTTTCACTGTTGTTGTTATTGCAGTTGGTATATATTTTTTCACATTCTATGCTCATTTCATAAAACTGACCGAGGGCAATGAAGAGGATCTTTTTTCTCTCCTCAGCCTAAAGCCTGTATTATGTTGTTTCCTTGGTGTGAGAGCCCATACTTTGGAGACAAAATATGCTGCTGATGGCTTTCTCAGGGGGATGAAGGGCTACCAGAAGTCAACAGGATCTAAGCAACCAACTGTGAAAAAAAAATTAGGTGGTACTTTGACTTTGTGCTTTCTATTTCTCAGACTTCAGTTAAAGGGAATAGCTGCAACTGGGCATAAAAGATATGTATAAGTCTTTTTCATGAGATGTTACTTGCAGTGTCAAAATTTTGAGAATGACCTTAGGGTCTGTCAATAGAAAAGTGATTATCTGAATTATGTTCTAGCCATAGAATAGAATACCCTGCTGTGTGTTCTGTTCAATATTAAAAGAATGTGGGAGCTTTGTGCACGCCGTCACTGAAAAGTACCTGTGAGTCATTGTTCAAGAAGGAAAATCGCATAGAGAACAATACGCAGCCCATGGTTCCAGTCCTGTTAGAATTTGCACATATTTATAAGGGGATGGTATTAGAAAGATTTGAAGCGATATGCCTTAAAGCTGTTAAAGGGGCTTTCTTTAAGGAGGGGATGCTTTTTGCACTTGTGGATTTTTTGCAAAATTTTCATGAGAGTGAATTGAGCTTACAAGTAGTTTTCCTTAAAATATAAATACATAATGCATGGGAAATTTTTTTAAGGCTGTGGTTTTCAAACAAACTCTGGGAGCCACAAAGATATTTTGGAAATAAGTGGGGTGCATGTGGGGCTGGGAGCAGGCAGCTGGGAGATCCCCAGGTTTCCCAGGACTCCCAGCCTTGTGGCTTGCTACAGAAGTTCCACTTAGAAAAAAAATCTGCTTTCCATGCTTAGGATTTTTGTTCTAAAAATAGTTTACCAGAGAGAGAGAGAGAGAGAGAGAGAGAGAGAGAGAGAGAGAGAGAGAGAGAGAGAGAGA